AAAGAAGAAGATATTTCGAAGATTGCTTTCCGATGCTGATATGGTCAGTACGAGTTCAATGTTATGCCTTTTAGACTAACTAATACCTCTGTGCTTTTATGGATCTTATGAATAGGGTTTTCCAGCATGCACTGGATCAATACATCATCGTGTTCATTAATAACATCTTACTATATTCTAAGAGCCTGAAAGAAAACGCAGTCTATTTGTCTCGGGTATTAAAAACCATTTGTCAGAACCAGCTGCATGCTAAATTTAACATGTGCTCTTTTTGGTTGGATTGAGTCTCTTTCCTTGACCACATGATTTCGGGCGAAGGAGTTTCTGTGGATCCATCCAAAATTGAAATAGTAATAAATTAGAACCTGCCAACAAATATTGTTAAGGTACATAGTTTCCTTGGATTGACAGGTTACTACCAGTGATTCATCAATAGATTTTTTAAGACTAGAGCTCCATTGACTCATCTCACCAAGAAAGACGAAGCTTTTATTTAGGATTACGAATGTGATAAAAATTTTGTTGAGTTGAAGTATCGTCTCATCTCTGCTCCAGTATTGATTCTCCCTTATAATATTGAAAGATTTCAATTTTACTATGATACATCTCACATAGGATTGAGTTGTATTTTGATGCAGAATGGTCGGGTAGTTACTTATGGATCCAAACAATTGAAGCCCCATGAGCGCAACTACTCTACTCACGACCTGAACTTGGCGCTTATATTCTTTAACTTGAAGGTATGATGTCATTATTTGTATGATCAGGCATTCGAGATCTATACTGAATAGAAACATTTAAAGTATATATTTTCACCGAGGGAATTGAATATGAGACAGAGACATTAGTTGTACTTCCTGAAAGACTACAACTACAAGATCATCTACCACCCTAGTAGAGGTAATGTAGTCACTGATACTCTGAGCCAAAAGGAATCCGCTTTGTTGGCCCAAACCATGGCCTATAATTAGAAATTAGTCGATATTATGCAAGCACTCCACTTTAACCATTATGGCAACAGTTCCTACCTCACCCAGATCCAAGGTTTGCTTAATCTTTTCATGAAAATTTAAGAAACTCAATCCACCGACCCAGAGATAACTAAAAATTTAAGTAAGTTTACTTCTGATAAATTTTCTGATTTCAGACTCACAAATGATGGATTGTGCGGGTTTCGGGGTCATATTTGGGTCTTCGTTGCTGTTAGGACAAATGTTCTCAAGATTGCCCAGATCTCCAAACTGTTCTATATCCCGGAAGTATCAAGATATACCGAGACCTGAGGCATCAATATTGGTATCTTAGAATGAAGAAAGACATTATTGACTATGTCTTCTGATATCTTACTTGTCAACAAGTTAAGGTAGAATACTAGAGACCTAGCGGTTTGTTGCAAGGCTACCTTATTTCGGAATTAAAGTTGGAGCATGTGACCATAAACTTTATCACTGGTCTGCCTAAGACCTGTTCTGATTGCAGTGCAATATAGGTCATTGTTGACAGGTTGACCAAGACTGTTCATTTTTTACCAATCAAAACCACATATTCCACAAGCAGATTAGTTCGCTTGTATGCTGAGGAGATTGTTCAACTCCACAACATCCCCTCATCCATTGTGTCAGACCAAGACCTCTGGTTCACCTCCCATTTTTAGGACAGTTTTTAAAAAGCACTTAGTTCATAATTATACTTTAGCACTACCTATCTACTTCAGACTGATGATTAGTCTGAACGTACTATTTAAACACTATAAGACATATTACGCACTTATGTCATAGACTTTTATGATAATTAGTATGAATATCTTCTTCTATGTGAATTTGCTTATAATAATAGTTATCATTCCATAATTGGCATGACTACATATGAAATTCTGTACAGTAGACCCTGTTGTTCTCCCATTTATTGGAATAAAGTCGAAAACCAACATCATTAAGAACCTGATTACATCCAGGAGACTATCGAGAAAGTTGTTATCATTCGAAAGAACTTAGCCATCACCTAGAGTTACCATAAAAGCTTCATCAATAACCGTAAAAGATCCCTAAAATTTGTTATTGGTGATCAAGTCTTTCTTAAGATCTTCCCTTACAAAGAGAAAATGTGGTTCAGTAAGAAGGGAAAGCTGAGCCCCTGTTATGTGGGACCTTTCAGATCGTGGGACCCGTTAGACCCATGGCGTACTGCCTTACTTTGTCCCTAGAATTTGTGGGTCTGTGTAATGTTTTCTATGTCTCTATACTCAAAAGGTACCACTCTGACCTTTCTCATATCATTCCTCACCTAGAGATGCAGGTTCAAGCTAATATAACATAAAAGGAGCTCACCGCGAAAATCATTGATTGGACCAATAAAGTTTTGTGCAATAAAAGGATTCCTATGGTGAAGGTGTAGTGGCAACACCACACTCTCGAAGAGGCGACATGAGAGTTGGAGAGTGAAATACAAGAAAAGTTTCAAGACCTATTCATGACAAATTTTCTAAGGTGGAAAAATGTAACACTCTAAAAATCTCGTACTTAATTTGTAATATGAACCCCTATTTATTCAAGCCTTAAGGCCATTTAAACTCCTTGATATTTTGTATTTTGAATTTTTGGATGAATTTTGTATTTCATATTTTATTTGGTTAAATAATTTATTAAAATCAATTATTTTATTTTTTCGTAGGCAATTTATGTTTTTAAAAGCTAAATAAAAATATTTCAGGAAAATGGAGAAAAATGGAAAAAATCAAGCGAAAACGCTTGCAAGAGGGATCCCGCCTGCACGAGCTCCTCGCGTGTGGCTAACACAGGAGGTGTGCACTGTGCGTATTTCCTATTCGCGCAGGGTGCAAGGTGCAGTCGCTTACGTACCCCATTATTTGTAAACAGGCATGCAGCTTTGCACGCCTTCTGCACGCTCCGTTCGTGTAGTAGGCTCGCGCACATGCCTCTGCGCGCACAGTAGGCTAGCCCTGTGATGCACGATAGGTTGGGGCGACATGTACTATCTCGGGTAGTGTGTGTCGCCCCTTGGGGCATCAAGCGCCGCTGGTTAGGCGGCGTGCTGCCATCGCTTGGTGACGTGTTACGTCGTCCATCCGTCGATCACATATGTCGGTCATCACATCTCATCTTTTCTCATTGACTTTCTCTCTCTTCATAAGATTTTGCTATTTGACACAAATCTAACTGTCTCTATTTTCTATAAATAGGGACCCTCACTTAACCATTTCCTCATCACTTCTATTTCATTCTTCCATCCACCAAAAAGCTTTAGAGAGAGAATGAGTGATCTAGAGAGAGAGAGAGAGGAGAAGAAGAAAAAAAACGAAGGAAACACTAAAATTTTGGTAAAAAATTTAGTATTTACTTCTAACATCCGAAAGAGTATTTATAAACTAAAATTAACGAAGTTAAATTAAATGTTTACATGATTATTTTATATGCTTAAATGAAATGATTTACATTGTTAATTTTTATAAACATATGTGAATTGATTTCTTGCATGTTTAATTTAAATGATTAAATGCTTGAGATAAACGCTAATATATAATACATTATACAATGGTAAAGTAATTAAACATGAAATGATGTATAGACATGAGAAATATGTACGGACAGTGGCATGCATGATTCATAAAGTATTTCGTTAGATTTTTTTCTCTGAGAAATTTTTGTTTCTTCCCCATCTAGTATGAAAAGACGTGAGAGCACCGTCCCCTATGGATGATGGCATACCCTCTAACGAGAGTGGTAACGCGATATGATTGTAGGGGTCACCTTTGGTAAAATACGGTTATGGTTATAGTAAACATATAAGATCACTGTGGTTGGCACGGTCGTATTCATAGATCGTGTCATGATTTGACAAGCCGTAAATGTGTTGTTGGTTTGTAAGCTGCAAATTGCTGATATAAATGAAATAAATTGGTCATTCCACATGGATAGTCAGGAATCTGTATTACCCTCAATAGATGGAAGTCGAAACGACTTCGTGCGAAGAATAAAATGAGAAATAATACATATCATGATTTGTTTGATTTTCTTTATTTTTAGTATGATTGTTTTGATTGATACAATTTTGACTTGATATTTTCTTTATTAAATCAAATATATTTCATAATTAATAAAAAACCCTGACATGACTCTTGATGATAAATAATGATGGTACTTTTAATTACCTTTAAAATCTTATGGTATTATTTAAATATTATTTTTTTTACTGAAGATATGGAATTCACCCATTTCTATGCCTCTTCCAGATTAGTAAGATAATGAGGAACCGATCGATAATCTACTCCTTGAAGCCTTTGAGAATCCCGTGAATCTATGAACTTTTATGAGTGCAAAATTATCTCGCACTTTGATGAATCCATCTTTTGTAGATACTTGTAATTAATTTTATTTCTGCATCAATTTTGTATGGAACTCTGTTATTATTTTGTAAGGGATTGTAATTAATTATTTTTCTGCATACAATTATCTATTATGCACTCGTAATCTGTTTTTGTATTTGGTATTCTTATGCCTTAATGTGCATCTGGGATTTCATAATATTACTCTATTTCAAAGTGATATTCAATCCTCCAAAATTTGGTTTAAATTCTCTAATTTTACTCATTAAAAATCAAATAAAAAGTGACATTTCATTTTTTTTTCTTTTTCACTTAAATAGTTATTATATAATAACTTATCATAAGATTAGAATAATTGACATTTTGGTGGTATTCTACTAGTGGGTCTGTTTTTTTACCCTTCCATGTTAAATATTAACAATGAAAAAGAAAAAAAGTTGACTTGTTTGTGTATGCATGTGAAGACAATAACATAAGTTGTCTCTACATATAAATATATAAATTCCCAATTATATATTTTTTTTTTAAAAAAAAAAGTAAAGGCAAATAAATAAATAAACTTTATTTATTATTATCCAATGCCTTCTCGACTTGCCCAAAGGCTTATCTTCTCAACCATACATATATATATATATATTTTTAATAACCCAAACCCAAACCCAACCCACCAAATCTAACCAAACAACTAATTGCCGTTTTGAGCAACATGGGTCTGTCGTTCCGGGTCAAGTGCCATAACTCATTTGCGGCATCATCTCCATTAACGCCATTAGTCAACTCGCTTCTACCCAGAAAACTTCATTTCAGTCAACTCGAATTCCAGCCCCTAAGAAAATCATGGTCCATCTCCACGAAAAGACGGCTGCCGGCGGTGGTCGTGACGGCGGCTTCCGGTCATTTAGCTGCTCCGTTTGGAGAATCGTGGAAACCGGAGAAGGTCTCATCCCCACCTTCACTCAGTGACATTATTTGGCCTTCTGCAGGTATTTCTTTCTCTTTAATGCTAAATTTCGCTAATTAACGTTATAAGTATCTGTAAATTTATTTCGAAAAATGTCAATTTTTCCTCAATTAAATAAAGTTCACTCGGGGAACAGGCGCATTTGCAGCAATGGCGATATTGGGAAAGATAGATCAAATTCTAGGACCTAAAGGATTTTCAATGACGATTGCACCATTAGGGGCTGTTTGTGCTGTTCTATTTACTTCTCCTTCCTCACCTGCAGCTCGGGTACTCACTGTCTCTATCTCTTGTATATTCTAATATAATTATACAATATAAGAAATTCTGAATTTCAAGATTGTTGTTGTTTGTTTCAGAAATACAACATGTTCATGGCTCAGATTGGGTGTGCGGCGTTTGGAGTTTTGGCATTGTGTTTATTTGGCGCCGGATGGCTTGCTAGGAGTGCGGCACTCGCTGCCTCCATAGCTTTCATGGTCTACTTCCGTGCCTCACATCCACCTGGTTAGTTCTTTTTCCTCTCCTTCTTGTTAACTTCCGCAATTTTGAATGCTTACTGCAATCTTGAATGCGTAGTTGCAATAGAAAATTGAATCCTGTAGCTACAATTTTGAATGCGTACCTGAAATTCTGAATGCTTACTGCAAATTTGATGCGTATCTGAAATTTTGAATGCTTCCTACAATTTGGGATGCTTACTGCAGTTATGAATGCTTGCATCAATTTTGAACTCTTACCTGCAACTTTGAATGCGTATCTGCAGTTTTAAATTCTGAATGCAATTTTGGATGCTTAATGCAGTGTTGAATGCTTCCTGCAATTTGACCGTTTACTGCACTTTTGAATGCATGGTTCAATCTGGAATGTATACCATCAATTCTGAATGCTTTCTGCATAGTTTGAATCTTGAATATGTAACATCAATTTTTAATGACTACTGTATCTATGAATACGCAGCTGCAATTTTTAAAGGTTACTGCAATTTTAAAGCTTACTGCAAGTTTGGATGCTTGCTGCAGTTTTGGATGCTTACTGCAATTTTGAGTGCTTACCTGCCGTTTTGAATGCTCACTGCAACTTTGAATATGTAGCTGCAACTTTTAATGCTTATTGCAATTTGGAATGCTTGGTTGAAAATTTGAGTACTTAAATGCAAATTTGAATGCTTACTGCAAATTGACTATGTAGCTGCAAGTCTGCCCATTTTGTTCATTGATGGAGCCAAGTTTCACCATTTGAATTTCTGGTACGCTTTGTTTCCTGGTGCTGCCGGATGCATTATCCTCTCTTTAATTGTAAGTTGATCTCTTTCCCCCCACTATCAAATCATCTGATGCTATAAATAGATTTAGGCTGGGATTTTGAGTTTACTACCCTTTTTAATCAAATTTAACAAATCTAAAAACATTAGATAACCAAAAGGTTGCTTTTTTTTTCTCCATTTTTAAAGGGTAAACTATATTTTTGTTTCATCTAATATTTTTTGTTGCAATTCAAAAAGTTTAATTTTCTGACAATTGGTTCTTGTCAATTAACATCAAATTATTAGTTTTAGTAAGCCACTAACAATACATATACTTTTTAAAAACTCTTTCTACAATTTTAGTTTAGTTTTCGTGTTTATATTTAAGAATCCGAATGCATGAAGTCCTTAAAAAATCAATAGTTTTCTGTAAATTTTTGCAAGAATAATCAATAGAAGCTGAGTTTCCCAGAATAAGATAGATTGTCTGAATTGCAATAAGATTGAACTACAAAGGGTAAACTATACTTTGTCCATTGTTATTTCGCTTTTACTGAATTTTCTTCTTTAAACTTTATTAGTCTTAACATATAAAATAAAAGGATAGTTATATATTTCATATCGATCTATATCCACTTTGAATTTTTTGGAAAAATGAGAATTCGATTCTTCTAAAGTAATAAAAAAATTATATTTCTTAACCCCAATAATAAAAAAGAGGCGTGAGATTAAAAATAAAAAACATTTTCATTTTATATTTTAAGATCGGTTCATTTTTTCTTCTAGTTCGACCCAACTCCTACGTCTAATCTTCATATTAGTTTTAACATAGAACTTAGCTTTTATATTTCGCTCGTACCTGAATCCTTTGGGATACGATTTGGGAGGGATGGAATATACAACAAGTTTTAACTTTATATGCTAAAACTAATATGAGAATTTTATATGTAAAGAGTAATATGAGACTATTACATATATAAACTGAGAATGGCATAGAGATTGGATATAACATAGCATAAAAGTAACAAAAAGATTAAATGTGAGAATTAAGTAAATTAAATTGAAAATTAAACTATATGCAACACAACAATATAAACAAGAGGATTGCACAGCTCAAAAAATTCAACAATGAGGAAAATAGAAGAAGACAAAGGAAATAATGAAGGATGAGATTACCAAAATATATATACATGATATATACATATATATATATGTATAAGTCTGTTGACAAAGGAAGGTACTTAAGTTGTTTCCTGCTTATGGATGGGCTGGTGCAGCAAGAGATTGTGTGTTACTTGAAGGACAATGTGAAGTTTTGATATCTGAAGAAAAAGTTGCAAGATCCCAGTTCTTCTTCCTCCATTAAAAGGCTGACAGGTATGGACACTGAGGAACAAAAAAAAGTGTATAGATTGATTGGCACATATATATTAGAGTGGGATCCTGTCTTTTGGGTGTCAAAAAAGATAGAATGTAATCAGTAGAGAGTATTTTGCAGCCTTTGATTGTGTAATAAGCCAGCTGGGTTGGTTGTAATTGTAGAAAGCCCACAAAACTGTACAATAATTTGAGATGCAAGAACTTGCAGATTTCATCTTCATAATATAATAACAAACCGGAAAGTTTTGTGCATAAATTTCGTTAGTACAGACTGCTCAGATTTACAGAAAACCGA